CAGAAAGGTAATCCAACATCAGATGAACAGAGGCACAGGCTTGTTCAGAGGCAGGGCTTAAGCGCAGGGCATTGGTGAAGCTGGAAAGCACAGATACAAAGCAGAGCCAGCGAGAGCGGCCACAAAGCAGATCAAGAGAGGTGTAAGGTCACATGTGATAACGTCAGGAAGACAAGTGAGGTTTCTGCTCGGATAACCTGAGAATCGCGCTCCAGGCTGGGACGCACTGTCTTTTATTAAGGCTCCCAAAGGCTTGTGTTCGACCCGAGGAGAGACCAATCACCTGCCCTCCACTGCGGATGACTTTGCCGTATTTTGAACGTTTGGGCAGACATTTTGCGTGCTGGGGGCCTGCCTCAGGCAGGCTGGGGGTGCTGCTGAAAATCTCAGCCCATGTGATTCCCACCTGCAGGCAGAGAAGGCAGGCAAGGGAAAGCGGGTTGTTTATGCTAAAAACGCCTGGCAGTCTTCAGGCGATGTTCCAACTCATGCTCTGAAACAGGGGCTTCAGACTGAGCATGGGGCAGCAGAAGCTGTCTGGGATGCGCCCCTTTTCCTTACCCATGAAGATGCACCCACTTTGTCCCATTTCAGATTTAAAAACAAATAGTTGCAAAGCACACACTTAGTAATTGTGTGCCATGTCCCTGAAGGTCTCTGAGGCTTATATCCACACTGGTGAGGTTGCAGTGGATATGCGTGGGGCTTGCTCTGCCGCCCAGGCTGTCATGCGTCGCTGCAGGCTGCTAGGGTTGAGGGGACTGAGGGACAGGAAAGGAAACCTTGGGTAGAGCTACCCTGTCACTGTCTCAAGCCCTTTGCTCCTCAGCAAGCAAACTTGTTCTGCTAGTAAACTTCCCTGCACAAGAGGAAATCCATTCTGGAGCATGCCCAGGCCTCTGAGTCATCGCTAAGAAGTCATGAAAACACTAATTTGGCCTGTAGGAACCGGTTTTAGGCATTGCTAAAGCCTCAAGCACAAGACAGGAGGAGGAAACAATCTGACCAGAGCGCTCAGGTGGGATGGGATCGGTGTGGATTCAGATCACCTTTCTCTCTGCAGTGACCTGCTCCAGGGACAGTGCTTACCAAGCATTGAGTGAACCCAATCCCCATCTATTCCACAGACATAATATCCTTCTCCAGCAAAAAGGAGAAGTTCTGTTTCACCAGTGCCACCCCATTCCCACTTCTGGCCATACTGTCTCACTGCCTTCTGGCCTCATCTCTTGCAAGCTACCAACCTGTACCATCACAGGTCGCTAGTCCTGAAGATAATTTCAGCAAAAGTGAATTGTGTCTGCTTTTCTAGCAAACTGAACTGGCTCCAAAAAGTACTAGAGCCAATTCTAGTAAGAGAGGGGAGGATGAGGTAGCAGGGGACAGATGGACTTCCCCATCTTGGTGGTACTAAGCCACCACATTGTCTTAAACTCTTAAGGGTAAGGCAGCTGCCTCAGGAAGCACAACATGGTTTCCAGCCGTCCTCCAGTTTGTGCTGGAGTCATAAGGTACTGAACTAGGCTCGCTCCTCTGGTGACACTCTTTACAAAGGAAAAGACTCACGTGTGGTGTTCTGCAAAGGGGTTTAGGGCTGCAGATGGTGAGAGAAGGCATAGTCCTCCATTCATGATTAAGGTGCCCAAGTGTTTGAAGAAGGCTGGGTTTGTAAGAAACTCCTCGCAACTTCCCTTGGTCTTGTAGTTGCTGGTGTGATGGTGCTGTGTCCTCAAACCAGCTTTCTGGTCAAGCATGAGGGAGGAAATAATGATCTCATGATGAGGATTTCGTTGGGGGCCTGGGAAGACGGGGAGACCTTGGCAGCCGGGACAGGGCAGCTGGTGGTAGAATGGGACACTCTTCAGGGAAGGGCTTGATCACTGTGAATAGCATGTGGTCAATGATAACATGATGTAGCACAAGCTGAGTTAGCTTTTTATATTATATGAATAACACCAACCCCATGAGTAAGCCTAGAGTTTTGGGGAAAGAACAGAAATGTATACAGACCATTAAGACAGCAATAATGTGCAGGAAAAGGGATGCTAAAACCAAATTGCTAAATTTAAGATTTTTAAGACTTTGAATTTACTAATCTTTGAGCAGTTGCAACTTGTTTGTTAGTGGAGTTTTTTTTCTTTCTTTCTTTCTTTCTTTCTTTCTTTCTTTCTTTCTTTCTTTCTTTCTTTCTTTTTTTTTTTTTTTTTTTTTTTTTTTTTTTTAAGAGTGTCCGTGCATTCTGGATGTGAATAACAAAATAAGGGAATGAAAACAAGTCAAAAATAGCTCAGAAATAAGAGTTCAGAAAAAATGTTTTGAAGCATAGAGTCCCAAGAGATCACAGCAAAAGAAAGAATGATTCGAATGAAATCAGGCTGTGGTAAAAAGACACGTTGTAATGTAATACAGTTATAACTTCCTGTTATATCTGACTTGCAGACTAGCTATATACTTCCAGGTTTATCCTAAAAATATACTGGAGGCAGTGGAAAATAAAAAGGAGAAGGATTTCTTAGAGAGAGAAATTTTTTTAGCCATCTGCAGAAAGGAAGCAGCCGTGATCAGATAACGTTGCTGAACTAATCTGCTTCTCACTGTGCTTATCACAAGAGCAATAAGGTTAATTCTGTAGTGAGGGCAGCAAAATACTGCCAGTTAGTGAAGGAAGATGGACAGACCAGCAGACACCATTTCTTATCTGACAGAGTCAGCCAGAAACTGCAAAAAATATCACCAGTAGCCAAGCACAGAGGAAGAAAGAAAAAAAAAAAAAAAAAAAGACTAACGTATTTTCTATGGAAAATATAAACACTAATATTTATTAATACCATGGACCAAAGTAATGGTGCAACTGGTTGAGACACAATGGGTGAAATGTGTCCCAAACCATGCATTGAGGCCAGTGACACTCATAGCCAACAACAAATAAACTTTCCCTAAAAAAAAGGTGTTTATCCTGGGACTTGGGGCTGTCAGAAGGATTCTGGAACAGTGGAAGAAATAGCATGAAACTCAAAATGTTTTGGAAAGAACTGACTGATGACTTGAATATTCTTCCTTCTTCCTTCTGTTTGGAAGGAAAACACAAGTCCTGCGGTTTTCTTGGAACAAGCTGCAGAAAACAATCTGGAGTGCCAAGTGCCTCTGTCCTAAGGCTAGTGACCAGGCCAGTATCGCTGGGAGATTTTGTAAAAACCTCATTAACAGAAAATAATAATTTTCTGAGTGTTGGGAACACTGTTCACTGCCATGGTCTTGATCAAATGGATCGTTTTAGTGGATCATTAAAATCTTCATGGCGCTTCTTTGCAAAAGTGTCATCTCCTACAATCCCTGCCAATTTCCCATTTATCGGTCTACTAAGTAAACTGATGCCAGGTATCAGTTTTTTATCCTAAGTCTTGTTATATTTGGTGGTGTTTTTTCCTTGAAAATCCACCATATAATCCTGTGATTATATAAGCATTTAATCTACTGTCGTGGTTTAAAGCACAGAAGGCAGCTGAGCACCAGGCACACTCCTTCCCCTCTGGTGAGATGGGGAGGAGAAAATATAACAAAAGGCTTGGGGACCGAGACAAAGGCAGGAGGGATCACTCACCAATTATGATCATGAGGGAAAAAAAGACAGACTTGACTTAGGAAGAAAGAACATTAATTTGAATACCACCACCACCAATTTACCAATCAGGTCAGAATAGAATGGTGAGAAATACAGCCACATCTTAAAAACTCCTTCCCCCCCATGCCTCTCTTCTTCCCAGGCTCAGCTTTGCTCCTGATTTCTTTATCTCCTCCCCTCCAGCAGTGCAGGGGCAGGGCAAGGGGCTTGCGGTCAGTTCATCACCCGTTGTCTCTGCTGCTCCTTCCTCCTCAGGAGGAGGACTCCTCACACTCTTCCCCTGCTCCAGCGTGGGGTCCCTCCCACGGGACACAGACCTCCATGAACTTCCTCCAACATGAGTCCTTCCCATGGGCTGCAGCTCTTCACAAACTGCTCCAGCATGGGTCACCCCCCATGTGTTTCAGTCTTCCCAGCATCAAGCTACAACAACGGGGGCTTTTTCCCACAGAGTCACGGTCTTCTTCTTTGGGCACAGCCACCTGCTCCAGCGTGGGGTCCTCCACGGGCTGTGGGTTGGCATCTGTTCCACCGGTGACCTCCAAGGGTGGCAGCGGGGCGGCCCTGCCTCTCACCAGGGGCTGCTCTGGCACTCGTCGTGCCCCTGTCCCCCCTCCTTTCTTCCACTGACCTTGCTGTTTGCAGAGCTGTCTCCCTCCCTCCCACTCCTCCTGTCATGTTCCCCTTCTTAAATATGTTATTGCAGAGGTGCAGCCACCATAGCTAACTGTCTTGGCCTTGGCCAGCCGTGGGTCCAACTCGGAGCTGGGGAAGCTTCTCACAGGAGACACCCCTGTAGCCCCCTCCCCCACTATCAGAACCCTGCAACACACAAACCCAATACATCTATGCTATATTTAAAATCATTATTGTGTTGAAACGCTTGAAAACATGAAGCTTAATAAAGGAAGGAGGAATGAAACGAAGATCAATGTTTTTAACACAGTTTTTTGTGCTTTGAATTTCTGAATATCCTTGAATGGTCATTACTGATGCTGTCTCTTACATTTTAATGAATACAACACCCTTTTCTCAACAGCTACTATGATGATATGCAAAAGCAGAGCTGTCTCACTGCTATTCAGGGATATCTCTGTACTTGATTTTAGGCAAAATGTACAATAATAATAAAGGAATTCAGACACTTTAAAATTCAGTGATACTTTGGGGCTGAGATTTTCCCTCTGGTTTAGTTCAGATTAGTTAAACAGCTGCACATGCCCACACCACTTTAGGTAGTTTTAGAAGCCACTGGGCTTAAAACCACTGTGTGTAAACTCTGAGATCATACTGGAGAAACAGGGTCACCCAAGCAGTTGCTAAACATGCAGTGAGTTGCAGATCTTTTAAAAAATCAGCTAGAATCTTATCTGCTTACCCCAGAAAATGTGCCCAAAGTCCTGCAGGCTCTGAAGACAACACTGGCAGGCAGTAGGCTCAGCAGTCAGGATTTCTCTGGCTCCAGTGAGCTCCCTGCCTGGCTTCTGCCTGTTGTTTCTCAAGGTCAGGCTCAGAGTGTCTTTCTGTTGGATTGCTCGCAAATTTCTGCCTCAACACACAAGCTTGCAAGACCATAGCGCAGCCCCATGCTGGGGAAGCGATGAAACCTGCCAGCTCCATCCTGCTATCCTGCCGCGAGCATCCCTCTGATTAGTGGTCCCCATTACGCTAGGGGCTTGACAGAGTTTTACACAGGGCATGATAGGGGCCCTGCTCACCGCTCCTCATCCTGGAGCTGTCTGGGGAACAGTCCTGCTGATGACATTAATCAATATCTTTCAACAGAATTTTGGCACCAAGCATCTACCATTGTCATCAGAAGTGATGACAGACATTTAACCGAATGACATCATTAGTGTGGACTTGCTTACCTAGAGTCCTTGGGGATGCTGTGCAGCTGTGACACCATAGAGTTCCCAGCACTGGCATGCCAGTGGAGGCAAACCAAGACCTAAAACAGGCCTTAAACTCCTCCATGATAAAGATAGGGGTGTTTTAAAGAGAGTGATGTCACTGCTGATGGAGAGAACCCAGGGAAACACCACAGTATAAACTACACATACAGCATCTGTGTTTTTATGTGACAAATAGCAGAACAGAGTACTGCAGATATGTCAGTAAACATGGATACTCATTTGAAGTTAAATACTTCTATGAATGATTTACAAGCTCAGCAGAAAAAAAAAAAAAAAAAAAAAAAAAAAAAAAAAAAAAAAAATAGTCCTTAAACCAACCTGGAACAGAAATAAAGATGGCTGCTGGAAAAACACCAGTCACCTTTCACCACTGCCTTTGAAAAGAAGTGGTGGTGTATTTTTACACAACTTTTTTACTTTATGTCAAAAACTTCTGTGCCCTGAACTGAAAAAGTGACCTATTCTGGGAAGATACTGCACTCAGTTTAACCCTGAGCATTATATTCTTCTGTCAATCACTTCTTCCACCACTAGAGCAATGATTTTCTACAATAACCTTGCACTTGAGTCAATTCATTCTCTGGGTTTCACCATGTAGCATTTTATCACAGCAGTTTCTTGAGTCATCATGATATACTTGGTATCCGGAGGTTTTGTGCTTTGTATTCCCCTGGTCCAGAGGCACCAAGTACCTGAAGTTCTGTAGAGCTCCAGCTCCCACATAAGGCTTGTTACAGACTGATGAGCTGAACAAAACACCCTTTGCCTTTACCAGTAGAACAGCAGACCATAAATATTCACAGGTTTTCACCCTGGTTTTATAAATTATCTACATCATGGCTGTTCGTGCAGCCTTACATATGTCCTCTTCACTTCTGTCCCTTCTAGCTATATTTGCAACTAGCTATCCAAAAACCTCAGGTGGTTTTAGTAAAGAGGCTGTCAACGTTAAGCTGGTGAAAGAGTGCATTCATTCAGAAGAAGGAGTGTTTGCTCCAACAGACTGCTGACACTTGAAACATGGGGCTATGGGGAAAAAACACTCAAAAGCAGTGACGGAAAGGACAAACTAATTCTTGTTCCCAGTTTCATGGGAGTTGAACTGGGACAACAGCCTCCTAGGGGAGTGTTTTCATTGCAAGTGTCTGGAAGGTGCTGCTCCCTCCCACTCTGTTCCCCTCCAAAGCCATGGCTCCTGCAGAGAGCAAGGGGCACTTTAGCTGGAGTGACCACATCGCTTTTTCAAGCTACTGCCACTGCTGCTTCAACTGGGATGAGCAGAGAGGCCTGAGCAGTAGCTTGAGGGTGCTGGGGGATGGAAGACAGCAGGGGAGAGGCTCCGAGTACTCCAAGTACTTTTTTCACAAAGGGATTGATGAGTGGGGCAATCACAGTGGCCACCTGAAGTGACAATTCAGGCTGGGGCTGGGGAAGCGCTGAGGGACCAGCCCGTGCTTGTGCTGCTTCTGTATTTTATGGCAAGTGGTAAAGCCAGACATAGGGCCTTGTCCCAGCCCCACAATTAGCTGTGCCTGAAATAGCGCTGACAGGCTCCACATCTCATTACAGTGAGTTGCCACACCACTGCATGGCTCCCCAGCCATACACATGCGTATATGTATATATACACATATGTATTCAGTGTACATATTTATACACAGTTACAATATATACAGCGTGTGTGTATATATTCATCTGCAACCAATCTGGAAACAATTCTTGGATCAGGGAACTGAGGCCCCGGCACTTGCCAGATTTCTCACAAGTAGGTTACAGAGAGAGTCTGGCTCACCCTCGCTCAGCCTCACCTCCCCTTATAAATCCCTCCCGCACTCCTTGCTGTACCCTGGCACAGCTTCAGCAGGAGGCGAGATGCCCGTGATAGTCTCCTGAGTGTCGTGGGTCTCTGCTGTGAGGGAAGAAAGACGTGTGTGTCTGAGGACAGGCAAGGATTTCACTAGGCTTCAGTTAGGGTGTTTCTGACATTTGCAGGGGAAGGAGCTAAGAGAAGCAGAATTCACCGAGTGAAGGTTAAATCCAAATTAGGAAAAGGCAGAGTAAGCCTAGGCACCATTACAGTTATGATCCTGCTGAGCAAAGGCTTTTAGTTTCTGAGTTTGGCTTTTGGTCCCTGAGTTCTTACTGTAAGCTAAGGCTGTCTATATGTAGAAAAAAGAAATTGGAATTATTTTTGAAAGCTGTTCAGTTAAAATGCATTGTGATTTTCTGTGGACTTGGGGGGGTGGGAGGATGGGAAGGAGAGGGAGAAAAAAATCTGAACTAAGCCACTTTTGGTTGATTCTGATTTCGTTTCCTCACCAAGAAAAACTGTCAGATTTCATGCGCTGTTACAGGCAACTGACAAACTGGCTTTATATGTTAAATGACATGCTACAGCTATTTATTTTTTTTTTTTAATTTCCCTGTAAGAAAAGGCTGCATGAATTGCTGAAAGGTCTTTTACCAGTTGCACTGGATTATGTGTAACCCCAAGAAGACCCAAACCCCTGCGGGGACCTGGCAAACTGTGCCATGCCAAACAAAAGGAGGGGGTGGGGGGGTTGCCTCGTCCTACCGAAGCGCATCTCACCCCGTGTTGGAGCGCAGAGGGCAAAGCCCTCGCCCGGTGCGGCACGGCGGCTGCCCTCTCCGCCCTGCCCCGGGCGCCTCCCGCCCCTCCCCGTGGCCTCTGTTCCAAGCTGGTAGCATACAGCCACTCTCGCTTATGTACGGTACCAAAACCTGTGCATATGGAGCCTGCGCCTCCATGTCCATTTGGGACTTGGTCCTGGCAAGGCCGGAGGCTCTGCTTACCAAGCCCCTTCTGAAAAGCAGGGCTCCCAGCCTCAGGCCGTACACCTGTGTTTTGCTCTGCCCAGTGTACAGCACCTGCCTTTTCCAGCGTATGCATGGCAGACGTGGCATTTATCTGGTCGATTCTGAGAAGTCACAAGCTTTTTCAGGGAATTCTAATGCATGGAAATACTGCTGGCTCAGGTGCAGAGAAGAAAATGTGCAAACCAGGCTTGCTGACGATGCTTTGACTTGTTCCCTTTGTCCTCTTGGTCCCACGTGTGATTCCTTCTTGGAAGACTGTTCTCTCTATGGGAGAGATGATGGCCAAGGGCCCAGCAGGCAGTTGCACCAAATGACTTGCTGGTTGAGGGAAGGGGATGGAAATGGAGCTGGCTGGGGACAAGCAGTGCTGCAGCAGATGGGGGGCAGGCTGAAGCACCCCAGAAGTTTAGGTTGCCTCTCCTCAGCTTGCTCTGTGGCCGAGGCAAAGAATTTACACCCCCCCACAGAGGGGGCTCCCACTTTCTGCAAGCCTGTATAACTTCCCACTGGGTTTTTCCTGGCATCACCCACCACTTTTTGCCAGCCCTAAAATGTGTGCCTCATCCACGGCTGTTTTCCTTGTGTGTGGGTTCCCTGCCTCGCTGTTCTGCAGTGCTTGCATGCAGACAGGAGTGACCACTTGCAAGAGCACCCCTCCCTGCTCCCCAGCAACAGTCCACTTGTTTGTTCAGGCCCCCTGGTGAGAGGGACCTCCCCAGGGGAAGCTTTTGGAGTGTGCAGGCAACATGGCCTACACCAGAAGAACTGCAAAGCCTTGAACTGATGATGAATAGGCAGCCCCTTAGTTCCAGCCTAACTTCCCTTTCCCAGCTGTGCACTAACATGAGCAGGCTAAGTACATGGTGATGGTTCCCTTGCCGGCAGTGTCCCTTGTGCGAGGCTCGTTCATGTGACACTTGTTCAAGTGTCCCCCTTCCCAGGAATAACACCCAGCTCAAGCGCATGGTGAGTTATTTTTCCAGCTCATCACGGCAAGGCAGCCTGCTGTTTCCCACCCTTCCTGCGACAACCCTCTGTCACTTTTACCTCTTGAATCTCCTCCCCTCTGCAGTCCTTTGCCTCTTCCCTGGGAGTCAGCCTGGCTCCTACTTCAATGGTTTTCACATCTCCACCTGATTTCCCTGTCTGCCCCAGCCTCTTTCCTCACATCCTCGGAAAATCCCCACCCAACCCATGTTCCTCATTGCAGTGAACCCTCTGAAGCCAAGGCGTTCCTCCTACTCTTACACACGCTTCTTGTTTCATGGGAAGACCAAACATCATACTACGTTTTATCATTCCCATGCGTGGCAGAGGGCTAGCCAGTCCTCACATCCATACCTTTCAGAGGTACATAAATTGCTCTAGCAGCCGCAGCAAACTGTCTGCCTCTTGGGCATGGAGCAAACCAGATGGCACGTCTGGGGCTGGCAGGTCAAGGGCATTCCCATGCATCCACCAAGCAATGTGCTATCAAAGCCTGATGGGCTTTTGTTTTTGGGCATACAAGGCATTTAGTAGCACTCACTATTTAAAAGCTATGTTTTTATATAACAGATTGAAAAATCTGTCTTTTTATGCATGCCTCCCTTCGCCCTAATAAATTAGCAGTGTTTCTCCAGCTCCTTCAGGCTTTTTAACTTTACCCCTCATATCCGTTCCCATTTCTGCAACAGCATCATGCAGAGGTCAGTCTCCTCGCCTCAAAGCACAAACACGTTGTGTATATGCTCTTTGAGTTTGGGTTTATTTATTTAAATTCCTTACTTAGCTTCTGTCTTTGAGCTCACAACAGCTTTTTGAAAAATCCAAGAGAATGCGAGTAGCTGAGAAATCCTATTACATCGCTGATTCCTGGGTTTATTACTGTTACTGCTGCTACACGCATCATGCTGCCAAGCACAAAGGTGATGGCATGATGCAAGAAGCATTTTCTTACTTGCTGCAAGCAGTACACTTCAGGCTGACTAAAAATTTCCTGGCATGCCTTTTTTTTGGGGGGGGGAATTAATTTCAGCCCCTGCTGCCATGAAGCCTGAGGTGTCAGTGAAAGAAACGGCAGCCAAGGAGTTCCTAAGCAGCTTGAGACGCCAGAGGCGCCAGCTGTGGGACAGGAGCCAGCCCGACGTGCAGCAGTGGTACCAGCAGTTCCTCTACCTGGGGTTCGATGAGGCGGTGAGTGCAAAGCTTACTTTCAAGGGTTAGCAGGGCTTCGGCGTGAGCGGCTGCGAGCGTGGGTGCACAGCCACAGGGGCACCCAGGGAGAAGCTGCCCTGCTCTGTTCACAGACACTGTGATTTCTTTCTGTAAAGTAGCGAATATTGCACAGAAATGTAAGCTCCGTTATTTGTTAGGGATTTCTGCATTATTTTGTTACTAGAAAAAAATGACACTGAAATCTTGTGTGCAGCTCTTGCCTGCTACCAAACTTAAGCTTAATAAATTGCCAATGGATGTATAAACAAAGTTTGCTTTGAGAAATAGGGGGCCAGACCCAAAGCAATCAATTGTATTTCAGGAAATTAATTTGGCAGACTCAACCTAATCAATTTGCTTTTTAACATTCTGAGAAACCCACACCAAGCTGGCCGTGACCAGCATTCCTCAGTGAAATTGCACTAACATTAGGTACCTAATGCATGCGTGTATCTCCGTGGCGTGGGCAGCTCCTGACAATCGCGAGCACCGGCAGCTGTGCCTTGACTCTAAATGTGAAAAGAAAACCACTGGATAGCCTTCAGCCAACCTCCCCTCAAATGAGAAGTATACATTTTTTAAAAACAGTTAGTTTGTAAAAATGCTGAAGTGAAATCAAGAGTTCTTAGCTTTGCACAAAGCTCTACTAAATAGATGCTGAAATAGGGCGAAAAATGTGCATTTAGTTGCAGTCCCACACGTAGAATAATTTCTACATTAATAAGAGGTAAAAATAGTTATAGATGTTGAATTCTTGGCTTGTGTCAGCTGCGTGAGTACGTTTAATGAGATTGCATTGGCACAGGCAAGCTGGAGTACATTTTGGACGTTCATGCTATGTGAATTGCTTACAAGATGAATGCCTTCATTTTCAAAGCTGGAACAATTAAAAAAATAACCCTTTGCTTGGACTGAAAGAATGAAGGGTCCAATTTTTTGTTGCTCCTGGACATTATGCAGATAAAAATGACCTTTTAACAGCATGGCTATATTCCCCCCCCCCCCCCCCCCAGTAACAATAGAAAAAATAGGAAAAGTGGGTTTATGCATCAGAAAATGAAGACTGGGGGAAAATACTAGGAGGTAACAGGGACAAACCATGCAGATAAGATGAATTCTCCTCGTGAGTTCCTGTGTGCATTTTGAAAACTGAAATGAGGCTTGTTGTGGGATACAATGAATCTACTTAGTAGGTTTTCTTGAGTATTAAGACACAGTTTTAACAATGAAATAACTGTTTGTTCCAGCAAAGGACTTGGGCCATACTTACCCATTGTGTATTCTGCAAAACTTTTTTTTCAAATCTCATCCAAAAATATTTCCAAAGAGTCATTCAGATGGAAAGGCTTTGACTTGGCAAGTATTTGATATCCTTGAACACTATTTTTCCTCTGCTGTTGTGAGCAGAACTGAACTGCTTACTGCCTTTCCATAGCTAGAAGGCTGTGCTGTACATTCATTTTTACCCATGCAAAATGGGAATGAAAGATCATGGGGCATAAAGCAAAAGCCTGTTGCACCCACTCTGACTCGGGGACATCAGGGCAGCAGAGAACCAAACCTTTAGACTTTTAAGAACAAAACATTCAAATGCTTTTATAGTCCACCACTGAAACGGTAATAGAAACATTAAAGGTGGCCAATGCATGTTTCAGTTGCAGGTGCTCTCAGTTGAAGCCCTTTGCAGCGGGCAGAGGGGATGGGGGTGGGTCCCAGGTGGGGCTGGGCAGGACAGTTCCAGCATTTGGGGCCCTGATAATCCTATAGAGACGGTAGTACAAGCCACAAAACCCCTCAGATCTAAAGATCTTGTTTTGGCAAATATGCAAAGGATCTGAACTTCTAGAGGAAAAAAAAAAAGGTACCTCTTTCACCACTTCCGTTTCACTTTCTTCATTGTAAAGTTTCAGGCTTGGAAAGCAAGTATTTTCTTTTTTTGGCAGAAATTTGAAGATGACATCTCCTACTGGACAAACTTAGGGCGCGCTCGTAATGAATACTATGGTGGATACTACCAACACCACTATGATGAAGATTCACCAATTGGCCCACGAAACCCACACACCTTCAGGCATGGAGCAGGTGTCAACTACGATGATTACTAATGCCATTTATCCTACTGTAGCTGGTGCCTATCGGGCTGTGCTGGGTGAGGCTGAGTCCTCCCTCAGTCAGAATGAGCCTGCTTTCCTTCTATTAATGTAAACCAGCAAGAGTAAAGGAAGTGCCTGACTTTTTTTAATTATCATTACTTAGTAGTACACTATATATAAAGTGTTATAGAAATAAAGCTTTTTTTATAAAATAAACAGGTTGCCATTATTTAATAGTAGACTTTGTAACAGCAAGTTCCATTCCAACTGTATTACTACAGATTTCTTTTTAAAGGGCTTTTTCATTTGCTTTCCTACAATCAATTGCAAAATTACATCATCTAGTTTGGCATATAGAATACATAATATAAGCCAATACATTTCAGATGGGCCTGCTCATTCAGATTTGTGTCAACAAATAAATCCAATTATTCTTGAGGGAAAAGAAAAAAAAAAATCCTCTCAACTGAAGTGCTGCCTTGTTGCCTCCTCTGCTGTTTCCATACCTACTGCGCACAGTGCCCCAAACTTGTGTAGCGCGGCACTTCTGCAGTTCCTGTCAGGGCAAGGACACAGATACTCACAAAAGCAAAATTCAATGCAGAGGAGCTCGTCTACCTGCAAAGGCTGTGAAAGGAAAGGATTCTCCAGGGAAAGGGCTCAGTGCAGGAGCCTGACTTCAGAAGTAATTGCTAAGACGTGGAGCATCTAACCTGAGTGGCCCCAACCCCTCCCAGGCATGATAACCCCAAGGTTATCTTTGATGAATACTCCCCTTTGTGTCCTTTCCACTTAGCTGCAAGCTTTCAGTCTAGCTCGAAACAGGGAATAAAATAACAAACTAAGCTATTTAAAATGAGGTTGGCATCAGATAGCATCCAACACAGTCCCCAGACATATTTTTCTACCACGAAGTTCCCTCTATCCCCAATTCAAACTGGAATCTATACACACTAGGCTGAGCATCAAAATATATCAGAGACTGGGAATTTGTAAATGAAGTATAGTGGATTAAAAGGGGGGGTTGGTTGGTGGGGTTGTGTGTGTTATGAACCCCGAAATACAACCAACTATTCTACCACAGCAATATCAGCTTATCTTTTGTTGCTGTAGAGAAAGTCCTGGCGCAGACCTAAGCCTAGCGGGGAGATTTCAGCTGTCAAGGGCTTCAGGATGAGCTTGGTGGGGGAAAGCACTGCTGGATCCTGACAAATGTAGAGGACTGGGAAGGGGCAGGTGAGGAAGGCTGGCTGCTCCATGACTTCTGGAGCTGAAGAATCAGGATAAAGAGAGATGAAATGTGTACTGCAAACTATAGCAGTCAGAGAAGAGAGTATGGATGTTTTAGCTGTCTACAATCTAAAGCTTACAAGAAATTTCCAAAGCATGGATCATGGCAACACCATTCTTTACACTTCAGTTACTTCTTAAATTTGAGTGTATTTCCTAATCTTTCACTTAAAGCCCTCATTGTGTGGCGGACCGGTGTCCAGGAGAGGCAGCCCAGCACTGTCCCACTCCCCGCAGGAACTCATCCAGGGAGACAGTTTTTAGCCAAGGGAGCCAAACTGAACAAACACGTTAGTCACTTCTCTGCATGCACAGCTATGTGCTAACCTAACACGCTCCAGAAACTCAGCTTTCCCATAGGTTTTGGAGCACTTGCTCTTAGCAGAATCCTTGCCAATTTAATCAGTTTAAACTGGTGTGTTTCCTCGGTAGAAGACCCTTTATTCCAAATATGGAGTAATCATATTCTGAGTCAAGCACGCACTCTTTTGCAAGTTGGAAAACACCTATTCCGAGAAGAATACTTCCCTTTTGTGTCCTATCAAACAAGCGTGCTGAGTTTGGCAACATTTGAACGATGCTGATAATTTCCATCATTTCCTAGAATTTACAACAACTGGGAATTCAGACCTGCTGAATAAGGAAAAAAAATTAAAAAGTGCTGTAAATAAATAGTATCCCACCCCTAGGCCATGGTAAACTGTGTCCATTCCTTCAGGCTGACTCAGTCCAGCAGCTTTCTGCGCTTTGCAGGCTCACAACAAATACTATGATCTCTCTCTTCTGGATTGTCTTAAGAGAAAAAAAAAAGAAAGAAATCTTTTCCATTACTTCATGCTGCACACTGAAGTTTCCCACCACGTACTGGGTACAGCTGGGATAGAGTTAACTTTTTTTATAACAACGCATACGGTGCTGTGTTTTAGATTAGTGACTAAACCAGTGTTGATAACACTTTAGCTATTGCTGAGCAGTGCCTGAATAGCACCAAGGCCTTCTCTGTTTTCCACGCTGCCCCTCAGCAGGTGGGCTGGGGGTGGGTGAGAGGTGGGAGGGGACACAGGTGGGACAGTTGACCCAAACTGACCAATTCCATACCTTATCACATCTTACTTGGCAATAAAAGCTGGGAAGAGGAACAAGGGGGTGGGGGTTTTGTCTTCCAGGGTAGCCAGTGCTCACAGTGAGTGGGCATCAGTCTGCTGGTCAGTGGCCTTTGCATCACTTTATTTTTTTTTTTTTTTCCCTTCACTTATGAAACTGCTCTTATTTCAGCCCTCAGGTTTGCCCACTTTTGCTCTTCATATTTTCTCCCCTGTCCCACTGGTGTTGGGGGGAGTGAGCAGCTGTGTGGGTACATAAATGCTGGCTGGGGTCAGCCTACCACCACCCAATAGCTCTGAGGGGAGGGCACCGTCCTTGCAGAGGGGGTCTACCTGATTTGAAGAGCAGCAGTTGCAATGATGCAAAAGTATATGCAATAAGCAACAAAAAAATGTAAGCAGGTATGAGCCATCACAGATTTGGGCAAAAGGAGGAAAACTATTTTTAAAAAATTGTCTGTCAAATATGCACAGCGTGAGTCAAAGTTAATGGCATTAACAAAGTTAATTTCCTTGTGACTATTTCTGTCCTAAAACACAGATAAAACTGCGCACGCTCCAGCCTTTCTATTCTGCTGTGCAGACAGCACAGAGCGCTTCACATCATCATCACCCCCAGCCATCCCAGCACTGACATCATGTCACCTCTCCACCAAGACAGAAGAGCACCCATTGTTCATTGTGGCTCCACAAGAACAGGAACAGCTTGGCCACGGTCCAGTGCTTCATGTTTCAAGACCGACACTGCTACATCCCCCTGCTTGCTGGGATCAGCTAGGCAAGTCCGTCAGTCAGACTGGTAGGGGAGTCCCGCTTCCTCTGCTGACAATACCTTGAGGAACCCTTCCGTGTCAAAGCATGGAAGTACTACTGATGTGCCCCCACAGCCACTCTCATATACTGTCCCCACCTCAGGCCCAGAGATGTCTCTCTCCAGATCCAGCATTTTCATCAGCAGTCTTAAATATACATTTATTTTCTTTATTTTGGAGCCTTCATTCCCTTTAAGTTCCTACTTAAACACAAAAAGGCTGGGGATGGGAGATTGGGCACTGTTACCCCAGGACTGTTCCCCAGGTGGAAGATGGATGCTCCCTTGCTCAAAACAGCTTTCTCTACAGTGGGGTGGACAGAGCCCAGATTGTGGTACTTAAGGCCACCCCATAGTTCCCTGTGGCTTCATGTTTTGGATGTTCCGGCTGCTTCAGCCATAGCATAGACTCAGAGGATCCTTGCTGAAGAGAATGGCAGAAACTAGGGAAGATACAGCAAGAGTGAATCCATTGTTTGTTCCGGGTTGTAAATGGCAACAAAACAAGGTGGACAAAAAGTTATTTGCTATTATGGAATAGGCAAATGAGAGAAGGAAAGGGACTGGGAAAAGGAATAGAGAACCAGACTCTGTTTTTTGCAAGAAATGTGAATTATTTCACCAAAACCTCCCTGTTGATACAGGAGCTTCCTGCCATACAGAAGGAGCCGTTTTTCTCCAGAGCTATTGCTGCTGTTCCTGATATCTCTAAGGAGTCAGAGCTGCAAATAAGGCATTCCCTTCTCCTGCCACTTGTCATCCAAGTGCAGGGAAATGTTCACAACAGAGGAACTATGAAGTTGTGGTAGCTACGTTCCCACTGATTTCAGGGAGGGGATGTATGGATGTTAGGGCTAGCAACGCTAGTACACATTACTCTTGCTATTAACAAAGCATCTTCTTCCTGTGGACAGGTCTCTCCTGAACAGCCTCTACCCTCAAAGACCTCTTGGACTCAAGTAGCATTAAACTCAATACTAATAAAAGCCTGCAGACTAGCTCAATCCATCACACTAATCAAAGTTCTGTTTTGCCCTCTGTAGCCTGTTTTCTAAGGCTAACAAGTTTATGCAATCGTGTGTGTCTTGCCCCTCCCTGCCTTTCTCTCCACTTTGAAACTTAATTCCAACCCTGACAGAAGTGAAAGTTTTTCCAAATATACTACATTTCTAAAAGTTGCTTGAAAAAATAGATGACTGAGAGACATTCATAAATGCCCAGAGGGTGGTGAGTTCAACGGCCACAAAACTTGCCAGTCTACATAGGTTAAAGAAACTGCAAACACTGCAGACAGAGTAGGAGGACTGTCAAATCATGATTTCCCCACACAGCAAAAAATTTAATCTAGAGGTAGACCCAATGCTTCTCTAGACTATATATTCGTGAAACTACTTAAAATAAATTAGGTCTGCAAGCCCTGATGTAGCTTGTCTGTAGACCAGCAATGCAGTTTACAAAGCTTCTGACCAGTCTTCATATAGAAATAAACCAAAAGTATTTAATGTCTTAAAAAAAAAAAATAAATCCAGCTGAGGACCTCACACTGTTATAACTCCCAGCAGCAACAGTGGTCCTTGAGAGGCTGAAGGAATCCACAGTAGTGGTTACCTTGCACACCTCTCTTTCTAGAAGACTTATCTAAGTTGCCAGCATCAAGCTGGCCAGTTCATCACAGACCTCTGCTACATTGCATGACCCCTCCTGAGAGAAAAGGACTTGCATCTAACACTAGCTGAGCTGCCCCTTTGTGCAGATCACTGAGACTAAACAGGCACCTCAATCCTGGTCATGTCAGTTTTACCTTGCTTGACTGACCCAGTGACAGCAAAAAATCCCAATTCTCTTAAGTTCCTGAAAAAAAACCCCAACATACGTTGTGTTCAGGCATGGAAATAAGAAACCAGCTTGGCTTCATTTACTCCCAAGTCCTATGTTCCC